CTTATGCGCGCGCTTCGGGATCTCGGAGGCCATGCCCGCTTTTCGCGCGTTTCCAATTTCGGCCGCACGGTGGCGACACGGTTTCGATCTCGAGGCGATCGAAAATTCGGCGCCGAATCTTGGGATTTGGCAGTGTCGAACCGTTTTCGAACTTTTCTAAAGATTCGGCAAAGATTCGTCAAAAATCCATTAAGGTTTTATGCTGTTTTTTTCTTAACTTAAATGCAACGTGTAATGTATATGGACACAATTATTACTAAATAAGGTGATATTCTAAGGGGGGATCGGTGGGCCGAGTGTGCTAGCGCACACCAGTTGAGCACGCGAAGCGAAAGCTCGCGCTTCAGAAACGCAGGAGTCCCCCAGGTTCAATCCCCCTTTCTATCTGGGTGAGCATCGCACCGGCGTGCGGTCGTGTATCACTTACTGTTTGGTGCACGTTGGTTGCATACTGCACTGGCTAAATTTTCTCATCTACAGCTGGGAGACAAGTCGCCCGTTGAGGCAGACTAAGTTCTAGACTGTATAAACATACACACAACCCAATTTTTTTTAAGGTGATATTCTATAATTATAACACGGTTTCGTTTTTGTGTGTTTACTGGCAATTTTTACGGTAACTTTTTGCAGAAGTGATGTGACAACGAGGTTGGCTAGTAGTAGGCGCAGTCACGAATCATGATACGAGAATTCAGGTCTTGAGGCCTCATCAGCGCTATACTCCGCGACAAATTTTCTTGGCAATGCAGTGGAAGGTACAGGCCCGCGTCCCCTCTCCCCTTTTTGAGTGTACGCAGGCTCTCCTCCTCCCCCATTTCCGGGGAGAGGAGGAGAGCCCGCGCACACTCAAAATGGGAGAGGGGACGCGGGCCTGTACCTTCCACTGCATTGCCAAGAAAAGTTGTCGCGCGTGTGTACATTGTCAAAATAAAGGAAATAACACTGCGTTCTTACTTTCACTGGGAGTCACCGTTTCGTGCGCGAAAACGAATGCAACGGTTGCTGAGCCTTCACCAGAAGAGATAACATTAACAATATCAGCGGCGTAGACTTTCCATTTTCCCGGGGGGCGGGAGGCAGGCTGAGAAGTTTTCCGGGGGGGCTTTTCCGCGCAATTTTTTTTACACCGGCAGTTATCAGTAGTTTATTTTAGGGGGTACATACATTTTACAGCGTATGTGTCCGTCGCTGTGTACGTTATTTTGTTTACATGCCACTGCTAGAAGCTCGTTACATGGCACGCAAACAGCGTCCCGGTAAGGATCATGGCCCGGGGGGGGGGGGGGGGGGGGGGGGGGGGGGGGGCTCTGCTCCGCCCGTATGTCACCAGGGGGTGCATAAGCCCCGATGCCCCCCCGTAGTCTACGCCTATGAGCAATATTATTGTAAATATGCATGCTTTCCATTTGAGTCGCTTGACGTCAGCTCTCCGTAAAGCGTGCGTCCCATATTCGCAACGTCTCGTTTTTAACCTTTAAAATGCCGGTTTCTGCTGTTAGGACACACACGGTCGTTTATGAAGATGGGAAGACTTAGAAATGTCAGATGTGCAACCTGGAGCGTGACAGTTTTGTGTCTAGTTTTATGCAGATATATGAAAACCGCGAAATAACGATAATTAAAAGGTGATATTATTTTGAACATCTTGTACTAGCCAAACACGTCAAATTGTTGCAAATATTATTTTGTTTTGGCACCAACTCCTTGTGAGCCGAGAACAGGATTGCTATAATGGCGAGGAACGGTTTAAAGTAATTGTCAGTCAATGTTTCAGCCACCTCGTTGCATCACCGGAAAGGTCAAATGAAAATCACATTATCCACAATGTACCGCATCATTTGTCACTTGCGCAGTGGACTGCGTAAATTACTAGTCGATCTTCTGTTCTTGAGGCATAAAATATTGAAGAAAACCACACTCGCAAAGGCTTACAAATGCAAAGTTACCGTGTTTCCCACTCCACACCTCACCATAACCGCTGGTAGTACTACACTGCGATGGTAACCGCACGACCGCACCGCGTCCGTTTGCAATCCATGGCCGCGTCGCGTTCTCGCGCGCGCGCAGATATTGGCCGATTTTTTGCCAAACCTGTGCCGAACTTTAATTCAAAAGTTCGGCATGTGCCAAACTTTGCCGAATCTGAACTATGGACGACAAGCTCTGACGCTTCAAACTGCAACTAGCGTGTATAACTTTGCAATTCTGACCCATCAATCGCGCAATTTAAGCTTGGGACGTAGAC